TAAAAGTTGTCTCAAAACCTACATATGGTAGGGTGTAAGCAACTATTAAATTTCAAGGTCAACGGTCACAAAAATCGTTTTTTTGCGCTTTTTTTACAAATATCTCATTTCCTGTGGGTTTTTTGCTATTTGTATTTATTACCAATATTGTAGAATACTAAATTCTCTACAAATTTTGTTTAAATACTTTTTTTATACGGTGAACCGTTTTCGAGATAGAGGGCGGAGAGCGCGCGGTCACTGCATCACTTCAGGTCTACTTAAGCGGTTTAGATTTTTCATACAAAAGGATTTTCCCGCTAATTCCTGTGGGAATTTCGGGAATTCCTTGTTGTAACTAAGCTTTGAGTTTACTAAGGTACCTACAGACAGACAGACAGACAGACAGACAAAAATTTAACTGATTGCATTTTTGGCATCAGTATCGATCACTAATCACCCCCTGATAGTTATTTTGAAAATATATTTAATGTACAGAATTGACCTCTCTACAGATTTATTATAAGTATAGATAATATGTTTAAAACCTTTTGTAATGTAGGGAACAATTTCCTCTGCGAAAATATACCATGAGAAAATGTTAAATTACTTACATTTCATACGCAAGGCATGACAATTAAATGGATAATAATAAATAGAGGCCTATTATATACAGCACAAAAAGCAACAGACGGTGTTGATTTATATGGCACGACACACTTTAGAATTAACGACGCAAAAAATTACTTTCGTTTCTTTTATTTTTATTCAGTCTGTTACACGGGATATTCTTTGAACACCGCTAAAAGGGGCTTGTTTTTTATGTGAGCGTATTTTCAGGTGCCTTCGGTCGCGAGAGTCACCCAAGCAAACAAGTGCGCAGATCGCTCCGTTTACACAAGAAATAAGAAAATAATTGTGGCAAGGTTGAATCACGATCAGTGCGTCACTCCGTAGTCTGTCCGCCTCGGCTCCGACCGAGACCGACCGATAAAACGTTCCCGTTTTATAGACAAATTCCAATTTATTATTCAGGCGCTCTGTCTACAGTGGTGATATTTCCATGGTCGTAAAACTCGATGTATTAGTAGGGAATTTAGTGCAATGATTTGTATGGAGACCCCTCCACTTTGGTATAGAAGGCTCATTTTTGCAACAGTGGTTCTTTGGGTGCTCCTGAGTGGATTTCCGTCGGTAGACATCGGGAGCCCCCCCTGTGGTACCAGGGGGAGGGGGGGCAAGTTTCCTTCCGCCGCGCTTCACTTTAAGGCCCATATCTTCAAAACTATGGGTATTAGGGCAAGTGTGGTATCATTTTCGGATAATTAAAGGATGGCGAATTCATTTCTAGAACAAACTTTTTGCCTTTTCATACAAAAAAATTGAAATATTGAGTAAAATTCACAAAAACCAAAAAGTATTTTTTTAAATAAACGTCGTTTACTTTTAAACCACTGGAGATAATCTAATAAAAAAATATGACCTGAAAGCTACATTTATCAAGATTATAAAAATATAACATTGTATGGTACTTTTTTCGCAAAAAGTAGGTGAAAAAATTTTTTTCTTCAGGACAAAGCGGGCTAATTTTATTGCGCATCGGAAAAAAATATTTATTTTATCCATGAATTCATACTATTTGGTTCATGAGCAAGCAAGGATTATTATTTTAGAATTTATTTATAGTTGCTGGCACATCAATCTACCATAATTTGTATTTTTTCGTCAATTGATTTTGAACTCTATGTTTTTTAAACAAAATTTGTAGAGAATTTAGTATTCTACAATATTGATAATAAATACAAATAACAAAAAACCCGTAGGAAATGAGATATTTCCAAAAAAAGCGCAAAAACCGATTTTTGTGACCTTTGACCTTAAAATTTAATAGTTGCTTACACCCTACCATATGTAGGTTTTGAGACAACTTTTAGGGTGTCAATATACAAGTATTTACAGACTTACAGCTGGGTATCTCTAATTCCGAGATTCTTACCTAATTTAAGCTTAAATGACTGGACTAACAGAAAAACAATAGAAGGTCAGCAATAATATTTTTCTTTACGATATGAAAACATGAAATTCCATGAATGAGCTGTAAAAAATTTTTGCTAACTGTTTTTGTAACGAACAGTAACATGACAAACTGATATTTTTTAAATGTGAATTATGAAGGACTTAAGTAAAGTAGTAGATAATTGAACGAATTACAATAATAATATCGTTTGAAATCTTTTAAGAAAAAACAGGTAGTAATTCAAAATGCGTTACGAAAATTGTATGAATAAAATATCAACATAACTGCCATTAAGCACCAGCCCGTCATTAGAGCCAGCAATAAAAACCATAGACTTATTGTATTTTTATGGGTGTTTTCTCTTTCATTCTTTTACAAAGTATAGTAATTGCCGAAAATCTAAATATTTCATACAATTTTGAGCGATTGTATTTTGCAAACTGCTAATTTAAACTTTAACAACCTTACTTATAAAAAGTTACACAAGCGATTAACAGTTGTTTAAATTGACATTTCCATCGTCACTTTAGACAAGTGTTCAACACGCGAATAACTTTTATAAGTATAGGGGGGTTTATAGAATTGAGAATGTTACTAGGTATGCAAAATCACTTGAAACCTATGTTACAGTTAAACTTTTACATTTACAAATACATTAGTTTTTATTTCATTCAAAAATACCCAGTAGTTATGATTTTATAGGCATTCAAAGTTCGCTTAAATATTGAGTCCCGCCGACGGTCACGTGACCCCGTGTGACGTACATTCACAGCGTCCGCTCACTAGAAAACGGATATAAACATACTTACATTTTTTTTTTGTAAATACAAACTTATTATACATATTAACACCCAGACCCATCACAGAAATTAAAATTGAACCAAACCCAAACTTGATGCGATTGTGTCGTTTTATTGCGAATTACCTTCCAGCTCCATCATTAGACCCCGATTACTATATAGAATTAAAATACTCATCAATACAAAACGAACGAGCCCAAACTCGATGCATTTAAGTCGTTTTATTATAGAGTTCCTATGGCCACCTTCCAGCTCCATCATCAGATCAGCTCCATGTCATCATAATATTGCATGGTCATCCAAATCACATGTGTTTGCGAAATTTCAGCTTAATCGGTTGCTTGGAAGTGGGTCTTAATTCAGTTTGCAAGATTCCACCCATACAAATATGAGCCAGTCGTTGTAATATGACGTCACGCGCATAAAATGGCGGGCCGGCCGCCGCCCGCACTTTTAAAATTCAATATCTTGGAAACTAATTAACGTATCGAAATAATTCTTTCACGTGTATTTTTTATTTTTAACAGAGAATACAGAAAGCTAAAAAACAAAATTAGTGAACATTCTTCATTGGGTTAAAAACCTTTTTCAAGAATAAAACAATTGAAAAACGTGAAAAGAATCTCTATCAAATATTTCACATCACTTGTTTCAGACAAAGGACACGAAAATTGCTGGCAATTGGTCGAATCAGTTCGTATATTTCCTGATTGCTTTACCTATTGTTATTACAGCATTTCACAAATAAACAATGAATAAATTCCGCACACGTTCTGTTAATGAAACAACTGAAATGCAGATTGGAAATGCTTCAGCCTTTTAAAGACAAGCTCATCATACAATGTAGGTAGAGAAAGAAGGTCTGTGGTTTTTTATAAAGCCCGGTCTGTGAGCACGTAGAATTTTGTCCAATGACCCCTAGCTACCCATCCTTATCGCTCGCGCGTAGTTGCCAATCCAATGATATTAGCATCTCTACCTAATCTGTGAATGTCAGTTAACTTTCCTCGGGACAAATTTGACCTTCACTGGTTGGGTTTTTATTGGCGGTCAAGCTGTAGATCCTGGCTACACAGGGGTTGGAGCGGTGGGAACGAGAGGTGGGAATAGTCCCGTATAGCGGTTAACTTTTTCTTCAATTTATTACGAGTATGTTGTACCCCGCCCAATAGAACATGGGCGGGAAAAGTAAGGTTACTGATTCAACAGACAAGGGTATAAAATTGATTTACTTTTGTAGTAAATAGATAGGTAGATTCGCTATTATTGTTCACTGAACATATGAATTGAAAAGATGTAAGAGAAAAAATTTAAACAAAATAAAACAGTGTGCTTAATGTTATTTTGATTATTTTCTTCATTTATTATAAATTTTAACGGTCCTTCTGTCCTTTCGTTTTTCAATTATGTATTAATATAACTTGCGTGTTTTCATGGCTTTTTCATTTGAATGTAGGTACGTGGAATAAAATCACAGGAGTTTTCCTCAACTGACGACCTTAATTGTTTTTTTACCAAAACATTTGTAAACAAAAGAAAAATATATTTAAAATTCCAGCTAAAGTCAAGTAGGTACTTAGTGAAATTAAAAGTATGATCATTAATTAAAAAGTTAATTAGTTTCTTGCCATGCTAACAAAAATATAAAGCTTCAAAAATTATACTTAATTTTATCAAGTGTGAGATGATTATAACATTCAACTAGTAGTAAAGCTTATTTTCATTAAAAAAATATTAAAGAAACTAGTAGGGGAAAATCAAAGTGTTTTGTGTCGTAGAAGATACTTATTGATATGACATTAAGACACAAGATAGTTTTATCACTGTCAGAGGAGATAGATCGTTCCATCTACGAAGACGCGCCCCACCATTCTTCCGCTAATGTTTGAGTGTTATTGGTACACGCAAAATTTATCCATGAGTGCACACGCACACTACAAATAATGACGCTCGAATTGCTCGGATCAAACTCCCCGCACCCTACACTTCCCTCGACCAAAAATTGGTGGGGCGCGTCTTCGTGGATGACACGATCTATAGAGAAGGTAAGTGTGTCAATAAAAACTATTTTTAAATCATGACTAGAAAAATAGGAAGGAGTTCTTAACATTAAATAGATTTACACCATATTTTCCATACATTTAAAGTTCATAATCCTTGCTGAGAAAGTTTATAATAAAACGAGTTACCAGGAGCTCAGAAGTTTATAGGACGTGTAGGTTCTCGCAGGACTTTGATTTGGAGATGTCATTGATGCAAATCTTTTGGAGCAGCTCCCTGGCGATGCTTAGAGAGATGTGGGTGCGGGAGCTGGCCAGCTTCGAAGGTTTTGCTTCTTGCTGCACAAGAAATAAGACTCAAATTACCATGGCAACGAATTAAAAAGTTCAGATTGCTATGCAAATTTGACGAGGACAGAAATATCGAATGGAAATGTGAGAAGGTACGTTTTTATCTTCAATTGGATTTCGTTCGACTTGGAATTTATGATATAATATCTATTTGACAAACGGAATTATTTTTATGGTAATCACTAAGGCTGTTACACTGACGCGGCCTGTGGTAGCGGTATTAAAAATGATTAACGAATCTTGATCTTTTTAGCTTAGCCAGCGTTTTCCACTAACCACGCCAGTGTAAAAGCATCTAGATATAATGTACTTATAATTTATAGTAATATAGATATATAGCCATCAAATACTCGTTATTTTAAGAAAAACTTTTACTCAACTTCAACTTTTTTTAACAATTAAAAACAAAAGACAATCGATTTATTCTTTTAAAAGTTTGGTAGCCTAAGGCTGGGTTGCACCATCTTACTCTAACTTTGACAAACATCAAAAATCTATCAAACTCCATACAAAAAACCCCGGTTATCGTCATAGTTACGGTCAAAGTTAGGTGGTGCAACTCAGCCTAAGAAAATTTTGAGCTAACAAATTGTTTTTAGGCTACCAAAAAACAAAAGAGGATCGGCTCATTCTTTTTTCTGGAACCCGGCGAGTATCTTTTTCAGTTTGCACATGCTCGGCGACCTGACCTGTTTGCCCTGCTTCTTCGCTTGCTTCTTCTCCCGGCTTTCCTTGAGGCGGATCTGCTTCAAGATGCCGACTAGCAGCTCGTCCACGTTGTGCTGGATGCCTGAGGAGGTCTCGATGAACTTGCTGTCTTTTGTCGTGGCCAGCGCTTTGCCCTCTGTTGGACAAATTAAAAGATTAGATCACTGGAAATATGCAGGTATGTCTTGCAGCACTAGAGTTTGTTCCCATAAACACATCCCGTTTTTTACAGGAACTGTTTTTTGTAGGATCCCGTTTAGTAGTAGACGTGTTTTAATATTAACAATATTAACGTCCACACTAATACCCGTTAGCAGTGTCCCACAAAAAACGGATCCGTTTGAATTTATAATTTGAATTTCAAACACGCATGTCCACACGACAGTCCAATTGTGAGACTGGACCCGCTGGATTGCCGTGGAACAAAGCCCTTACGCTAAATTTTTTCGTGCAACATAAACAGTCATATTATAACGTTATAAATAGAACCTCTTTGTATAAAAACACTGTTTTCTTTTACTGGCCACTTATTATTTTTTAATTTGGAATTTAATTTAGAAAAGAGATCCCCGTTGCAAAGTATGACAGCAAAATGTTTTCAATAAACCTATATCTCTGCGTTCACTTCGCCCAGTTTGTAATGAAATAGTTTTGCTGTCATGGTTTTGCGGTAAAGGTGCGGTACCGACGTTGTTATGGCATCCTGGAAAATTAATATTGAAATACCTACCATATTTTAGTCGAGTTTGACTAATCCTGATTATTTTGAGTTGAATATGCTGAGCTAGACTTCCCTAAGCTAGCTGATTAGTCCCATTTGACGTATAGCTTGGAATGAGTGAGTTGAAGAGTCAAATTCAAACTGTGTAATGACAATGACTATGCTCACATGCTATTGGAAAAATTCAACCACATATCGCCATACGGACGAAAAAGAAGAAAAAAGTTGAAAGAGTCTAAGGCAGTGGCGTCTGTGACATCAAAACCCTCGGTATAGCTACCGGTTTGTGTCAACTTATGTCTTGATCTAAAAGCATCACTTCTTCTCCCATATGGCCCAATGTAACGGTACTAGATTTAAAACTTAGGTAATCGTAAACAAACTCACCATTGGTCGTGACCTGTGATGTGATGACCTGTGATGTGATGTGTCGTGACCTAGCCCTGGCCAGGTCAGGCTTGTTCCCCACCAGCACGACAGTCCGGTCTGCAGTAAACGACTCGCGTGCCAGATACGAGAGCAACTCATTAACGCGCACGAAGGAACTGCGCGCGACTACTGAGTAGACCACCATGTCATAAAGCGCCATCTTTTGTCACCATTGAACCTTATCAAGATGATGCTTGGTCGCAGTAGCGTCAGTAACATATTATGAATCCACTCTCTATCTCAATATCTGAGAAGAGGATACCATTTAAAAAGTGTACCTGTCTTCTCACTCGCCATTCAGCTGCATGCTCGAGTATTTGCGCTGAGTCTTTTGATAGGAAGGAAAGTAGACATTTTCTGGGCAAACTCGCTCCACCATAGATCACATCTGCATTCCTTGGGTGAAATGAGTATCAAAAGCGAGCCCATACTGCATAAAGAAGGTATCACAGAACTCACCATTGGTCGTGACCTGCCTAGCCCTGGCCAGGTCAGCCTTGTTCCCCACCAGCACGACAGTCCGGTCTGCCGTGAACGACTCGCGTGCCAGATACGAGAGCAACTCATTAGCGCGCACGAAGGAACTGCGCGCGACTACAGAGTAGACCACCACGCATGCGTGAGGCTCGTACGTTGATAGGCAGTTCTCCACCTGTGGAAGATGTTCATCATTAGTGACTATTCTACTCGGCTGCTGACAACTCCACACTTGTGGCGGAGTTTTGGGCTGACACTGTGTAGGTTTGTTGTCGACACGATAAGAAGAAAAGTGGCTATCTACAGTAGGGTGGAGCACGGTTGTATGGGAAAAAATTTTTTTTTAGTTTCGAAGTTCTAATAGGGGGGGATTTGTGCCTTATATGAAAGTATAAATAACTGTATTTTTTTATCCCATTTAATGAATATCTTCTGCCTCCGCAGTAACTTCAAAATTTTAAAATTTTATTTAAATTTGAAAGTCGTCTAAGGTGAAATATTGCGCTCTATTTATTAGTAAGAAGGTATTAAATGACAGATAATTTATAGATTAGATATTTACTAAGGTAATATAACAAGAAATACATACAAGAATTAGATAAATTACTTTAATTATTATGCTTGAAAATCCATTTTTGATCAAAATTTAGGCATCACGTTTCGCGATTCCAGCTTGACTTTTATTGCACCTTATTAGTGACTTTCTGGATGCAGTGAGAAATAGAATCTTTGATCGTAATCTTCACAGGTCCCTCAACAGCTTGAGTGAGGTAGAGAAGCCTTAAAACAAAGGTTTGCTCTCACCGCCAGATTTGACAATGTGCTGAATTTCTTAGTCAAATAAATATCTCAAAAGCGGCTGTTTGGTTAAGTAAATTAAATAAATATATAAAATAGCATTAAAGTGTATCACTAGTACTTAAAAAATTCTAGGTATTGAAGGGTGACTCGTACTGTGTGACTTTAGTATGCGACGAGCGGCCAGCTCTCTGACATCGTAAGAAGACTGCTATCAGGATACTCGTAATAGCTTTTTCTCCGGGTAACTAGTTCTTAAATCTTTCAAAGGGTATCTGGCAGGCCTCTCGAGGCCATAATAATTTTAAACAGATGACGGGTGCCATCATTGCGTGATGGTTTTGTCTTAATCAAAAACCAGGAAGAAGCATAGACTTTGACCACAATAGTAGCCAGAGGTACCAAAATTTCTATTGGATTTTAAGTTTCTACAACACAAACGTAGTATTCGGTACGCTCGTGTGATCTAACGGGCATGTTACAATTCACCAGGAGAAATTATTGCGAGATTTTGTGAGAATACGCCTAATTACCGCCGAAGCAATTTTATGCAAGTTCTGCTGATCAGTACTCAGATAATTGGCCATTTCTGATCACATTTGTCCTTCAATTTGTTCAAATTTATAGATAGGCAGTTTCTCACATGTTTCCAGAGCTTTTCCAGTAGACTATCTGACAAAGACGCGTGTCGCGAAAAGGGCCAGAAAAATTCTCTTCTCGCGCTCTCTCACGCCCTTATAAATATTATAAACCCAAAGCCTGGCTTTTTTGTGTATTTTACATTGAAAATATAGCATATCAGTAAACGATTTGTGATAAAAAAATAGTATTTTTATTTAAATATTGCACAGATATGTGGCGCCTAAGTGAGATCTAAAACCAACTTTTTTTATAAATTCAGTGTAGATGCGGAGGCAGTTACTCTAAACCGAATTGATTAATATTTTGCATGACTTCATTTAAGCCCTAAAGGCACAAAATTTTGACTATTACATTACAGATATCTGAAAAAAAAAATTTCACTCCACCCTAATCTACAGTCGGTAGAACATCAAGATTTGTGTTGTAAAATAGCACCTATGCCTATGTCTAATACATATACATACATACATACAATCTTCACCACAATTGAATTTGATTTTTATGTGATACAGGACTATTCGTATCATCGATTAATGGCTATTCTGGTGGACATCAGACCCAGAATATAAATTTTTGTTGCAAAAACACACCATTGAGCTTAAAGCCGTCGTGTGAACAGTCACACCTATTAAGTAGTACACAATTTTCACAATTATTTCGATCCTGATGTGACATGGACTATTATAATAATTCCCGTCTCTCGTTTCCACCGCTGCCACTCCCAGGATCTACAGCTTGATTGCCAATGTGTCAGTCCTTTCTTTCAGATCCTGCTTGCTGATCTGAATGAAATCTTTCATTTGCAATGGAAAATGGTATCTCAACTGTACACAAATGTGAGAAATACAAAGTGTTACAAAAGCGCCATTATTAAAAAAAAATCACCTGTATAGATGACGTCACAACTAAGCACTATAAACTTCTCTAGTGACAACCGCAGCTTAAGAGTAAACAACGCAAACTTTGCTTAAGTGTATCGCTTCCCTACTAAGTCGCGGTCTCAACTCTGAAACATGTCTAACTTATCGGTTATTGGGTGTATAATAAGTGCTACCTCTGTTACTTCAAGCTTGTTTTACTTTACTTTAGATATGATAGGATATACAGGGTGTTCCATTAAACTATAAACCGTATTAAGAGTCCGTAGTCCATAATGCATATTTTATGTATTGTTCATTATACTATAGTAGGGTCCAGATTCTCCCATAAGGCATCATAATATAGGTTCCAAATTATCTCATTAGGTAACTAGGTACGATTTAATTTTTCTATGTGGCAGGCAGCCTGGATATTATTCCCCTTAATAATATGCTTTAGTTGAATGCTACGACTCAATATTATTAAGTTTAATTTCTTAATGTGTCGACAAGGCACGTATTTGACTACAATCGCACCTGATGTTAAGTGGGATGCAGTCTAGGATGCAACGCAAACAGCTACATAAGCTGCATTATATTGACTTGAACACGATACTTTTTCAGTTAAAATAAAAAACCTACACTACCTCAAATAACAATATTTCCAGTTAAATGTCTACCAGACTTACGTCGGTACCACTTGTGTACTTTCTTTCACCGAACACATACTACAAGAAAAACCACTCTTGAAAATAAAATCTCTGTTTTTCTAACTGTACTGTAACAACAAACCTCACTCTACCCCCTGCGGGCCAGACAATTACAAATGAACTTAAACTTCATCGTGGTGGTTAATACAAACGAACTCTTTACGATTAAACTTCACCGCGGTATCATGAAAGTGTGTTAATGAGAAAATATAATCTTCTCTTCATAATGCCCCAGGGAATAAAATATGAGATTAAAATGAAAGACATATTTTAGTGCAAGAAACACGTAGTTTGTGAATGTTTTATAGATGCTTGTTCTTTCGTTTCAGCCAAATGACGTGCATGCTGGACAAAGGCCTTCCCCAAAGATTTCCGCAATGACCAGTTTAAAAGTATTAAAAGTATTACCACAGAATAATAATAAGTACTACGTACAGAAGTTTTACTTCGCGAAGGTATTTAAAAAAATGTATGCTCAATGTCATTAACAATATGGTGTAATTTAGCTTGTCTCAAGAGTCAAGCAAGTTTGTCAAAAGTTTTGTTGACAAACGTCAGTGATCGGTACTGCGCCGAAGCTATAGGGCTGACTTCGGTAAAATGATGTGACGTGAGGTGCCAAACTGCAGAAAATGGCGGAGGAAATACATGATTTAGCATGAATTATCATGAATAATATTAACTACTTATTTACCTCTCAGTGTCTTCAGGCAACTTAAAAAAGTACATTCTGTGTTTTTATTATTATTTAGGCAGTTAAATACTGCACAGTATTTAGTACACCATTTTCTTTATTTTTTCCATCATACACAAGAATACGCGTGTGTGAGTCAAAGTTCGCTCATATGTGAGGCCTTGTCGAATAGTACTCTTGTAGGGGGCAATCGTGCGTGTTTTGTTTTCGATGTAAACTCGCGGAGATGAACAGGCCTGGTATAACTATAGAGAAACCGTTAGTCATAGGATTTTTTTTTCTTGGGACTCATTTATCCACCTCTATGGTGTTATTTCTACAAAACTTCGACTTTAATAGTGTGTAAAATAATAGTTATATCGTAAAATGCCACTTAACCTACCTCATTTTGTTGTCGTTGGCCTTTGATTGATGTGTTTTGAAACCTCTGACCATTTGTCAAGCTTTTCATAAGGTTGACCTTGGTCAATATTTGTAGGCACAGTCGAACACATCAGAGTTTACATTTTTGTTGCAAAATAGCCCGTATTACAACCAGATAAGACCTCACTGTGTTTAGCTTGATGTGCTGTCGTCCGTTCTTATTTGACAGTTCTACGCGACATCAACATTAATGTAAACACTATAATATGGCATCTTATTATTGTGATATGATTATAAAAAATGTAGGTATAATAATAATAAATTAATATTCTTAAAAGTTAAAACTTAGACTAGAATAGACTAGACCCAGCATGTGCACCCCTTTTACTTTTGTCTTGTCAATTATGTTACGATGCCTCTACGTGTTGGATCTGTATCCTCACGCAAGCCTTATAAAGGACCGGGCCACTTTTGACCCGTGAGCTCCAAAGCGTACAAATAATAATAATAAAATAGGGGACTAAAGGCCACTTTTATACGAACACTAGGCTTTCCCAAACCATCTGACCAGTGTGGGGAGTGTAAACCAGGTCCTCCATTTGTCTCTGGTAAATTAGAGAGAGTTCCTCCTGCAGTAGAGACTGAAGGTTCTGATGATGATGAAACTAATCGACATATCAGTGCTGGTATGGTGTCAACTCATAACTCTTCAAATTAGAGAAGATCATGCTCCTGCAATAGAGAATAAATGACCTCCTCTGGTGATGATGATAATGACGATGAAACTTACCGACATCTCAGTGCTGGGGTGGTCTATGAAGACCAGCTCCGACTCTTCACCGTCTAGCAGCACCGACACCGACTTCTCTCCAAACTCGTCATCTGCAACAAAAGTCGTCTTAGCTGATAGTTATGAAGAAAAGAAGAAAAAGAAAAGGGGCAAAATCATACAAATTATTTTAAAAAAATACTAAAAAAGGCAACTTGCTCAGCAAAATGCTTAAATTGCACGACCCTAGTCTTCAGTAGAAAATACAAGAGCGAAGGGCACAATAATATGTGTAGGTACTATTATATGTGTGTGAATGGGTGTTGAACAAGGTATAAAAAATCTGTGCTCGTGCTCAAATACAAAACTAAATAACTTTTTCAACCGACTTCAAAAAAGGAGGAGGTTCTCAATTCGACCCGTATGTTTTTTTTTTCTATGTTTGTTACGCGATAACTCCGCCAATTATGAACCGATTTGAACAAATCTTTTTTCGGCGTATAGGTAATACCTCAAGGGTGGTCCCATTTAAATTTAATAATAGAAAAAACAACCCCCAAGGGTGGAAAATTGGGGATGAACTTTTTTATACGCAATATCTCCGCCGATTATAAATCAATTTGAACGATTATTTTTTTGTTGAATAGGTATTATCAAAAGGGTGGTTTCATGCGAATTTGAAGAAAATATTTCACCCCCAAGGGTGGAAAATTGGGGATGAACTTTTTTATACGCAATATTTTTAATTTTTAGTTTTTTTTTGTGTTCACGCATTTGAAGTCGGTTTTATTTATTTTTTAAGTTAATTATGTATAGGACCAACACTGTAACCTTTAAAAGAAATCCATTATTATTATGTATCCTTCAAATATCGGTAAATGCCTTTCGTAGTAGCAAAATTTTTAGTAAAGTAGGTTTTTAGTGCTCGTGCCACAAAACGGCCTTTAGAAATATTCGAATCTAAATAATTATATTTGAATCTGCAGCATTTCGTGTGCAATTTTGTGTGTCATATGTGATTTTGAATTCAAATCTTTCAAAATATATTGTCAGGAATCGATAAAGGTAAACTTGACTGGATGAACTATATCTAGTAATTTACGTTTAACATACTTATATTACGGTTAAGTAAATATTTTGGTTAACTATCAAAGTTACATAGTTGAATAGCACTTGACAGTTCATAAAGATCAGCTAGCATCTATTGTAACTTTATCATTTAAAAGTAAGATAACAATTATTAGCATCTATTGTAACTTTATCATTTAAAAGTAAGATAACAATTATTATCTTTTACTTATACTTAGTTTAGATAACAAACTTATGGATGCGTGGTCTAATGAAACCCACTCCGCGCCCACACGTTGGCTCAAGCATGTAAGACAGCGGTTCCCAACCTTATTTTAAGGCGGAAATAGCCCCACAAGAACACGAGCCTGTAATAAATTTTATTGGTCTAAAAAACTATAGTAACGTAATTAAATATTAAAGAAAGTGTTCACACACACAAGGGCGTGGATCTTCTGTAAAAGGTTTTTAAATATACCTTCGCTCTTTCATTTGTTTTGTCATTAATGAGGGTTTTCGCGAATGAAAAATCCGCCAGATGGCAATACGTAGACGCGAGGTCCAAATACTGCATGATTGGTTTACATTTGTAATCCTGTTTTCACAATAGGTTTTTTTTTCCCAGCAGTGTATGGCTGTAGGATGTGGAACACTGTAGGTTGAGAACCACTGGCCCAAATGATTGATGGAGGAACTTTGTGATAAATTAATTTGGCGTAAGTATATAGATAAATACATAACTGTGTCTAGACTCTGCTGCGGTAATGTTAATTAGTTATGATTAACAAATGGTGGAACTAATTGCATGGGTGTGATGAGCACGTAATTAAATTAGTATAATAATAGAGACAAATATCGTAAGATACACATTAAACTAGGTATGTAGTAAAATACATTAAACTAGATAGGTAAGGTCTTTTTGTTGTGGTTCTATTCAACTTTTTTTTTCGATACAATTTCTTCTGTAAACATAATTGTATTATGTATAGTCGTCTCAGATACCTAATTTAAAAATAAATTCTTACTAAGCATATTTTCAATTATTCGAAGTACCTATTTCTGTTGAAACTGTCTAAGTATTATGAAAGTCCAAAAATAAACCCTCTATAGAGACAAATTACACAGAATGTAGAGTAGGACAAAGAATGACCCAAACCATCAGTGATGGCATAAATCAATCAGAATTAAATTACCCACAATTTAGAAAATGGGTATTGATAAACGATACGATGTCTTGAATTACAATAAATCTTGTATTTTGATTTTGTGGTCCCTTTCTATTTAATTTTTTTTTGATATCCTATTATTTATAACATGAAATAAAAAATGCTTTTATAATAGTTTCTAGAGGAATGTATAAAATTTAAGTTTAAGTACTTGCACAATATTAATTCCTACGATAAAATTAGTAAAAGGAAAAATACATAAGGATTTATTTAAAAACTTACATCTAAAATACTGAAAGATAGAAAAGAAACAATCTAATTACGACTATGGTTACTCACAAAAACCAAACCATTCTTATAGCGTTTAAATTAAATTAAATAAAACATGCAGTGCCCTAAACTGAAAATTAGAAAAGTTGGATAATACGAAAAAGGTAAGTATAAATTCGAAGAAACCCTCTGAGAGCAAATTTCCCCGAAATTCTCCTAAAAAGCTTTAATTGGTTATTTGGAATTGTTCATTTTAACGACTATTATTGGATCAAACATTTTGTGAAAATCGTCAATTAAAAAGTTTGTTTATTTTAGCCTTGCGTGTAGGCTGTATTATTTTCAGCATCTTTTTCAAGAGTTTACAAACTATAGTGTCAGATTGAAGATTTTTAATTAAATATTTTTTGTACTTGCCTAATATAACTCTTAAAAATCAGAATTAGACATGCATATAAGTAAGAGTGCCTTTGTACAATGAATTTTTTCCTAAATGTATTGCCACCACTATTATCTGTGCTATTATCCTGTTTAGAAATAAATTTATCAGTTAGTAAGAGAGAGAGAGAAAGAAAGATAAATTGAAGAAAAAATCACAAAAAGGTTATAAAAAGCAAGCAGGATTGGCTAATGCAAACTTAATCCACAGAGATAAATAAATACAAACGGTTACAGATTGTTTCGCACGGGTCGCAAAAGTATTTTACTTTTATTATTTTATTTGTCAGTTAATAATAATTAAGGACGACGCACATTTGTCAACCCGGAAACGGATCGTAACTCGAGGCGGTCACTGCTATCAGTATTATTTGTATGAAACTCCGTAACGTAAACGCCTCGCCTCGGTTGACCGCGCGGCGAAAGGCGATACGGTGTTAATCCCTTTCCGGATTAATAGTGTGCTATACTTTTAGGAATCGGAGGTAAAGTTAAATATACATTTTTTTAAATATTTGAGAAAAAAAAATATCGTTCATTTTGAACCTTCATTTGTTTAAACTGCAAAATATAATGGCCTCCACCGATTTAAAGCTAAAATATTTAAAAAATTTACTCTGAATTCGCAGTTATCGGAATTTACATTCAAACAATCCCGTAGTTATGCCTTTCTTGTTATTTTAATTTTCGGGTAGAAAACAGTTGGAATATAAACATTGATGTTTTGGTAAATCCATCATATTCTATTATTCATAAATACAGCTTTAGGGATAAAGGAATATTTTCGCTTCCTACAACGTCTAAAGGTGCGTTCATGCACAAGCGGAGCGTGAGGCGTAGAGCGGAGCGTAAGTGGTTCAAATTGAACCAATGACGAGATATACAAGTATAATAATCAAGTATAAAAATCTTTAAATAAATATGTAATTTAATTGAAATCTATTTTGAAGTTGATTAAACTTAAAAGTCAAATATTAAGGTAATCTGGTGCACACATAATCGACAGTATTAGCTTGAACCCACACGCCAACACGGTTCAAAAATATTACATAACAATAATGTATTATTTAAATTAATTTGATATTTTATCGAATAGGTTAACTCTTTTTTGGAACTCTTCAAGCTAAGCACTGTGGTTTCTTATATAGTCTAATGCCCTTTTCTTCTTCTTTTCGTGTCGACAACAAACCTACACAGTGTCAACCCAAAACTCCGCCACAAGAGTGGCGTTGTCAGTAGCACTCATCAAATCCTCCTGAGTGCAGTTGCTAGGGCACTCAGGGCACGACATCAGGTGCTTCATCGACTGGGGAACAAAACCGCACCTGCACTCCATGTTTAAGCCATCCAAGAATCCCCACCTGACCAGATGCCCTTTTGAAACAAAAATTTTGTCCAATGTGCTGTCGACTCTACGAAAATCTCCGCCTATGCATGAACATAGTCAACCTTCGTATTGTTTTTGTGTAATCCTAAAAGTATCAGAAATTCCACGAAAGTACACCAATAAGGGCGACCGTGCGTAACAAACGAAACCTTGAACGTAGAACTTACCGCGTTTAGCTTCGCCGTACGTGAGCAAGCAAAAAGAAGTTTTGTTATTTACAAGAGAGTTAGCGTTAGCCAGCCAAACATATTAGATTAAGGTCAAGACTTTGTTAGCGAGCGGGAGCGGGTAAGGTATTAGCTTTTTTTTGTGTATTACCAATTTCGACAAAAGCCATTATGACGTCACAGTAGACCTTGGTTGTCTCATTCAATGACAATTAAATTCAAGTAATATTTAATATCTTCTCAGTGACTACTCCAAACCATAGTCTGTACTATTAGTCTTCCAGTGACTTGGCCCACTTTTATCTCGGTTCACGGGCCAAGTCGCTAGATTTAATTTTTAAACTGTTTAATTAACTGGGCCCACTTTCAATGTTTTTATTAATAAACTAGCCTACCCGGCGAACTCAGTTCCGCCTTAAAGGCAATAAATAAACATTTTAAAACCAAAATCAGCTCAATCGGCCCAGCCGTTCTCGAGTTTTAATCAGACTAACGAACAGCAATTCATTTTTATTTATATTGATTAATTGATTGATTCATTATACACCAAATCAACAAAAAAATACTCTAGAATCTTAGATTGGGCCCAGTTGCATGCCTGAATCAAATCAATTCGACATTTTAAAGTACCTTTACAATAAAAACTTTCATGCATTGTGAATACTAATTTAAAATGGCATTACTTCCACACTAAAATTTACTTTGAACTAGTATTCAACACGCGTGTAACATCTATTAGTAAGGGATTAAGTATCAAAACGCTCCGCTACCCCACCCGCTCCCGCCTCCGCTCTCACTAAGGTAAGCACACAACAACAGCCCAAAGCGTCAGTGTAATCTATTCGCACGTTTCCCACTGTTGTTTCCTACGCCATTCATGTGAGCATGACATTTCCTCGTATCGGCCTTGGTCTTGATCCTTCACTTGGCTTGACTTGGCCAAATATGCGTTATATTGTGGAAAGGTCAGGCTTGGAAAGATTGTATGAAAATTATGGACTTTTACTTATATGAAAATGCAAGTTTTTTTAGACTTAGTGTTCAAAAAGTGTAGTGGAGATTTAAAATACTTTTATACTTAGTAATATTATGTATAATAAATAAAAATGGCAAGACAATTTTCATACCTACATTGAAAACTTACATTTGAAGTTAGCTCTTTGAATTACTCGAAAATTATTTGTATACGTTAAAATATTGCGTTAAAAATATTATATCTACACATGCTTATATCTACAGCCTTACAATTATTAGACACTTACCCAAGAAGCTAAACAATGAAATCATGCTTGTTAGTAACATCACTTAACTAATTGTTTGTAGTTATTTATTATAATGTTATTTATTAATGTTGATTGTGTATTGTCACCATAGATTAATTTTAATACTTTTGAAGAGATTAAAATATGAACTCCATTGTGAATATGAATTTAGGTAGGTACCTAAACATAGAAGATACACGATATAATAATACCTAACACTCCAAATTCTACCTTTTAGGCGTATTTACAAATACTACGGTTGGACATGTCCTTTGCTTCGATTATTCACTTGTCTCTACTTTCTTTTGGTCAGAAACATATTGAGTTAAATGGAAATCTTCTAAATATATAAAAGGAGAAACTGACTGACTGACTGACAGATCAACGCACAGCCTAAACGGCTAAGCGTAAGCACTTGAAATTTGGAAGGGACGTAGTTTAGGTACCGTAGAGGTGCACTAAGAAAGGAATTCCCTAAATTCCCACGGGAACGGGAATTAGCGGAAAAATCCTTTTGTATGAAAAATCTAAACCGCTTAAGTTAGATGCTTGAAATTTGGTGTGCAGGTACCTTAGTAAACTTAAAGCTTAGGTACAACAGGATATAGTAAAATTCCCACGGGAACGGGAGTTAGCGGGAAAAAACATATGTATGAAAAAATCTAAACTGCGTAAGATAGACGCTTGAAATTTGGCATGCAGGTACCTTAGTAAACTTAAAGCTTAGTTACAACAGGATATTGCAAAATTCCTACGGGAACGGGAGTTAGCGGGAAAAAACATTTGTATGAAAAAAATCTAAACCGCTTAAGATAGATGAAGGGGGTAAAACGGGATCCACGCGTACGAAGTAAAGTATAAAAGTACTGAGAAAGAAAAAAAATATAAACACAAATATGAATACAGGGTGCCTACCATGAGTTTAAATATATAGTGTGCTCGCTAGCGACGTAACAGATTGTACAATGTCTTAACAGTTACTTTCATGAAGTAAAATCTTCATAGATTTTTTCGACGCTAGCGATGACGTTTAAAAATGCAAAATCTCAGTAAAGCTACTGGCCATAAACGAATAAAATAGCGACGATAACTGTTACATCTCAACCAATCGCAGTGATAAGGAGTACGTCTAACTTAAATAAAAAACATCAATGTCCCAATTTACTATCTTCCCTAACACCTACGAGTTTGCGGTTGGAGTTTAACCCAAACTGCTCATATAAATAGAGTTCAAAAGTTCCCAGCAAATTGAATTATCTAGTAGAAACATCGAACAAATTAACCTATATCTTAGAACTTAATCTAAATTGAGCCACATTTAGTGGCGCACGCACTTTTGGGAACCATTAGTCGACAGGAAGAAAAGTGGTTAAAGGATTATATACTCTGACGGCTATCGTTTAAAATCGATAGTTCTTTGAATGGAAAAACGCAGTAAGTTGTCAGTTAAAGTATCGTTAGGTTAAAGTAATACAGCACCGCATCAAATTAAACATTTGCGACCTGTAAAACCAAAAGATGTAAGTTTATCTACCAGTAAGTAAGTAAGTGAGTAATCATTTATTTGCCGCATACAGTTACATCAATTCCATATTAATATCCATTCATAATCTAGAAAAGGAAAATTTTAAAGTAATAATCTCATAGTGTCGAATGATCCTTTTAATAACTTAAGACACTTTACTTCTATTTTGGTTAATGATTAATCTAATTTTGAAACTTCATTCATANTAATTGAATCATTCACTGTGTTTAAACGATCAAACCTATTCAAACATTTAGATAATAACGTTAAAAACCATTTAAAAATCGTATGAGAACTTTTTCGACTTCTACACGGACGAAGTCGCGGGCAAAAGCTATTTGTAAAATCATCATCATCATCATCATCATTTCAGCCATAGGACGTCCACTGCTGAACATAGGCCTTTGTAAAATAATTAGACTAAATTATTAAAAGTGCCTACCCAAAGTCATTAGTCCACGCGGACGAAGTCGCGGGCACAGCTAGTGTTTTATGTAATGTAAAATACTTTAAAATGACATTTGTAATACGAGTTTACCTCTTAGTTTCTTCAAACAATACCCAAACTACAAAATTCATAAACAAACCATAAACATAATTTGTCGCAAGGTTCGATAGCCACTATAGATTAACCATAGTGCCTTGACGCCCAAGCTTATGATATCGGCCGCGGTAGAACCATAAATGCATAGAACAAGTATGGGGGTGAGTCTGGCCTTTGCAAAAATGCATGTAGAGTCGTCAAAAGACTCCTCAGCTGGTTTTATGCTTTTTACTACTACCAAAAATAACAACTTTTGAAAATAAACTAAAAACGAATTTTATTTCCAAATACAGTATGAAGTTTGTCATTTCGAGGACAGTTGATCTGCTGGCGAGCTCACATCTAAATCTTAGAGCTTAAGTTTCATTTAAAGTTTAGGAAATGACTTTCAATAAAGTACTAAACATTTTCAAAATATAGCGTCGGCTAAGTTTTTTTTTTCATTTTATCTTTTTTGTCTGTTTCATATCGTTTTCCCACATTTTGTTTTGTATGTTTTTCATATGTATATTCAAATGATGGGCAAAGCTACAAAATTAAAACGTATGTCTGGGCGAAAGTTCCGAATTCTGAATGCATATCGAAATCCCTGTAACTCCGACTAAACTCTGAGTAATAAGTTAGTTTGGAGTAAATAATTAACAAACGGATGCGAATTTCACTGTATGTGTTAAGTACTTCTGTAAGTTTAACATACGAGTTGGCTTCAATTATTTTCAATTTATGAAATAACATTTACTTTGTTGGGGCGTCCATTTGCTAACTCATTCAATTTCCTGCATGCCATTTGCGTAGACTGAAACTTTTAATTACACTACTACATTATTCATTTACACAATACAATTTATAAATGGATACTGAATAAAAGTATGAAAGTTTTTGTAAAATAGTGGTTATTCAATGAGTGCCCTGACAGTATCCTCAAAATTAACTGATTTTTATACAGCGATATTTTTATACTTACAGCCTCAAATGCTAGTTACCAGCATATGATAATTACACACAGTAAGCGACTGCGCACACTGAGCAACAATTGCGGCGACTAGACGTGGCCACTAGACGCGCGCGCGCGTCTTTTCATATATTTAGCTTGTCGTCGCAACTTCGTGATTCTTCTATGTTCTTCATATGAGATTTTTGAACTTTTCAAGATTTCATAGCAATACATAAATTAAAATAAATACATAGTTTCATAAGGCTCACCTCAGCACAGCCGCTGCCGCAAAAGAAATCTCAATCAGAACGAACGTCACAAGTACAACATACGAGATGATCAGGAGGTAGATCTCGTTCATCGCCGGTCGGCTCAGGCATGCCAGGAGGCCTGGTGACAAAAACCACATCATGTAAGTATAGAAGACACAATGCAAACTTAAACACGGTAAAAAGTAGCGTCATTATAAAAATACAAAGGCCGTTTGTAGACATCCGTTTTTTCACCGGACGACGGACCGTCAAAAAACGGATATCCTTTGTTTGCTGTCAATTTTCTCGCCGGACCTATGTCCGATGCATGTGCACACGTTCATTATAAACCATACACCACCGCTAAATCCGGTGAAAAAATCGGGCCGTTGTCCGGTCAAAAAAACGGACGTCTACAAGCTCTGAGAGTGCTTGTAGACGTCCGTTTTTTTGACCGGACAACGGACCGTCAAAAAACGGATATCCATGCATCGGACATAGGTCCGGCGAGAAAATTGACAGCAAACAAAGGATATCCGTTTTTTGACGGTCCGTCGTCCGGTGAAAAAACGGACGTCTACAAGCGCTCTGAGGTAAAACAATAATAACTGAACTCATAAAATTAGATGCTTTAAAATTTGATCGTCACAATAGCTCGCCAATGGAGAATATGGTGAAGTAGACAATTTAAATTATTTTTCAAACAGTGATTTGAACTTAAGTCAATTGACTTTCAAAGAAGTCAAAAGTTTATTTTGATGAGCAAATAATAAAAAAGTTATTTCTTTTGTAAAATAGCGCTGCCGCGCTGCACTGCAGCCACCATATACACATTTTGGACACTATAACTAGTATCATAATTGTAGCTCAAGCACTTCAGAGTGCCTAAAAAATCAAATTAATCAAAATAAATTAGAAAAAAGAAAGTTTCTGTCGCAAGACTTTAAAGGACCACAATAGAACTAATAAAGTTACTATAGTGGGGCTCTGTTGCTTGCTTTAATTTTGGCCAGAATAGTCATGAACTCGTACATAGAACAAGCACACGTAGTTGTACTGGCCAGAAAAAGTACTGCTTCTTATTCTAATTTTACACTATGAATGACCGAATATACAGAATCCGTACTCAAAGGTTAGGTTATGTTAGGTTAGAATCTTTTTTGTTTGAAGATCTTTAATCAAATGTAAGATGATTCTTTGATAGTTCTGACTTGGGTTTAATGCTTATGTGAGAGCACAAGGTAGCAGAGCTATTATGTTAATCCTTTGAGTAAGTTATTCGTTCTTCGGCCATAGTTATGATAAAACTTACATCCATAAGTGACCGAGGCGAGGCCCAAGGTGACGATGTTGACAATGTGGGCGAGCTTCTCCTTCTCGTAGTATTGGATCTTGATAGCATCAGTCATATTTTTCAATAGGAATTCCGGGGAGTCAGAGAAATTGAAGGCCTGCATATCCGGAGAATATCTGCAGACAAAAATATATGTTTATTTACTTGAACTTGTACCCAACTCAAAAAAGTTCCAATTGGTCAAGCGTGTTTTAACCACACCATTTGGTTCTGATTTTCCTATAATATTAAATGCAAAAGTATCACTATGTGCTTTGTAATTGACAAGTTGGGCACTAAATCTACACAACAGATTCAAACAACACTTTGATCAGAACACAGTGTATTCAGGCGCGTTCCATTAAAATTGTGTTAATGCAGCCAAGTGAGGGAAAAGTCAATCAAACGGATCACTTCATTTTCCTAGCCTTACTTAGAGCAGCTCTGGTTGTAAGTAGGATAGCACAGTGAGTTTATACATGTAAAGCAAGCAAGAGATGTGTGCGGGAGAAGGGGATAAGAAATGCATTCGAGTTGAATTCGACATAAAAAGGGATGGATGTTTTGCACGTCTTTTTCTTGTACAAATTAGTCCACAAAGCAACTTGTCAGATTTTTACAGAAACAGTTTATTTTTATTAGAATGGAAATTAATGCTTAAATTGTGTAACTTCTAGGTGATTTTTTAAAATGACTTATGGGTTAACACCTTTAAGTCATATTTTCACTACCAATTTGTGCGAATGTGCGACAGAAGAAATAGGATTGGGAATACGGGGCAAATACATGATATTTGGGCATGTGTGAATTTTGTGATGGTTAATTTGAGTGAAAGTCCTCCCAGGGTAAAGGCGAGCTTAACCCATCATTTTCCCCACACAGATGCAATCTCACCATTAAGATAATTGCATTCACATTATGTATGGTATACAACACATCAAATGTTACATCGATTTGCGACCTTACGCCTAGGCATCAATGTTCAAGTAAATGTGACTTTATATCACCTGGGCCTTCGAATATACTATGTTCCTGGACTGCTCGGCTCTCTACGTAAAGAGAATCATAATATTAATAAAAGTGCTGTATTTTATAAGTAGGCGATAAAGTAGGAGAAAGAAGAACAGGCTCGAGAGCTTCTCGGACATCTCAGAAGCTTATTGTTCACTGCTCCCGCGCAGCCTTTTGCTGCGACTGACAACGGAACATCAAGCCAAGCACTGTGTGGCACTTTAAGTAGTTATTTTAGTTAGGATTTTACGACAAAATATACTATGTACTAACACAGGCTTTTTCCTTTTAGATTCTTACTTTCTATCAACCAAAAGATTGATAAAACTTACTTGAACAGGGCCTCGTAATCCGAAAAGTTCGTAGTGGGGCTGGTGGTTAAGTTGTGGTATGTTGACAGCAAAGCGCTAAGGAAGTCGTTCGCTATGAACAAGCTCCTCGATTGCACCAGTATCATGATAGCTGACACCCCCAGGAGTAGTCCAAGGAGGTGTGTCATGTTCGTCTGGTTCATACGGAGGAAATACCTCTGGTAGAGCATCTCCACCTGGGGACAAAAAAGAAATAACATTACCAGCTGCCGTTGTGTTTAGGCAAAATTACAAAAAAAAAAGAAATCTCATTACACACTGCCAGTGTTTGAGCGTAATAAAAAAAATTACAGTTTCCACGTTTCTCGCCAGTCTTATGATAGTCCTCAAAGTGTTCATTTTGGCACAACCAGATTTTTTTCCCACAAATTTATTATGTCACACTAAACACTGAACGTTTTGTTTCTCAGTTCTTTCAAATTGTGATTCAATGGCTACAATCACACTTGTTTTCGTACGTTTCGCTTAGCATAGCCGTATTTGATCCTGATGCATCGTGTTACGTGCGTTTGCTGTCGCGGCACGACCTACATTTCTCGAGAAGTACTTAGGTATGCTGGACCGAATATCATTCAACAATTTTAATTAATTTAGTTTATTTTTTCTTTTAGTATTTTATGAGTGAGTGACTTTGCAATCAGTACCTAATTTTTAGGAACGACTCAGAATAAAATTATTACAAAATTTCAGCCTGTATAAGTGCCCTGAAAAGAGCCTGATATTGTGAATTTGATAATATTTCATAAGGCGATACAATAAAATTTCACTCTTAAACTTCATACTCAGACAAGAATAAACTTCTCTTAACTCGAATGCAACCGACAGCAATACACTCCACACGATCGCATACGAAGCTCCAGTTGAAATTGTTTTATTTCAATGCATAACATACTAGAGGATATTGGAAAACACGAACAAAAAACTACTTACGGGTATTTTAATAAGGAAATAAACCACGTTTCCAACCAATGAAAAACATCGTTTCGTTTCATTCCTGGAACTATGGAAAGAGTATTAAAGGGAATTCCTGCGTTCATGTTCTCTTGGAAACCCTTTTAAATTCAGAATTTATTGTGGAATGTTTTAATGAAAAATATTTTAAAGTATGCTAAAGAGTACTATTTCTGGTAAAAAATAATAAAATTAAGGCTGACTTACACCATCTTATTTTAACTTCTTCATCTTATTTTGTATGGAGTTTGACAGACATTTGACGTATGTTAAAATGTAAATGTAAAGTAAAATGGTGCAACTCAGCCTAAGTATAGTCAGCAGAAGGTTAATAATAATATCTTATTTATAGAACTTCAACTTAATAAGGTTGACATTTTAAAAAGGGGTTAGATCTTTATTCTAATTCCAATTAAAAAGCTCCATTAGCTCCTTGAAATTACTATGGATGTTTACCATGCGCAACAAGTTCAAAAGTTATTTACTTTTAGACTTGAAGACAGGGAAATAGGGTTCGAAATCCCTACGTATCACCACCACTGCTAACATTGTTAACACGTTCATTCTACAGCTACAACACACAGTATTGTGTACTCACCACCAAACCATTTCATGCAATAAACACATCGTCAATCCGAATGTTGAATACACAATCAGTTAGTCTACAAGCCGGAGTCCGTGATAGAATTGCATTGCAGACATTCTGGTACTCCACAAACAGACTAGAGTATTGTTTGCACAGAATCCTAAATTAATACAGATTGAATAGACGACCCAAGGTGCAACTGTTTGAACGTGTTTATAGGGTGAATGCTAGATTACTTTCAATTTATACTCGTAATAACATCTAAATAAATTACAAGTTTGTGTAGGTATGTTTGCAAGGTGTCAATTTCTACAATACTTTCATAAAGTCATACTTTCGCTGAACTAGCCATTTTATTATAAAATGTACTATTAAGTAGTATTTAATTATAAAAGGAAGCAACAATTCCAATTCAACCCATATCAATTATTTTTGTAATAACAAAATAATTTCCTCCTTTTTTGAAGTCGGTTAAAAAATAAAAGCGCAAGAAACATGAAAAGGTTAAGTAAGTGTTTAGCATTAGGTACAGCTGCTTTGATCCTGTATTAAAGGAGATTTTCATCATATTCAGCGGAGATTCGCAAGTACAGCCTCCGGAAAAACGGTTATTATTAATGTAATACTCAAAACTAATATGTAGCTTATCGTCTTAACCTCTCAACACCGAATCAATGTTCCATTAAGTACTTAAAACCGTACACGACGTTTTAAGAGAAGGTGTAATTAAATGACCTTTGAACTACGCTACGCCTCAAGCCAAGTGATAAATAGGATATTAGCTAGTAAGTGTAAGTCAAGTGAAGCTCGCAATAGCGCCGTGTGAGCGATTTAGGCCCGGTTTCCACCAAGTGGTGGCGGCGAAGCTGGCAGGCTATTTCCACTAAATCGGAGCGGAGAAGAGCGGAGCGGTCCGGAGACGAGACGAGATGTGTAAGATGTCCGCAGCTGTCAGTCTAATGCAATACAGGGTGGAATTTTGTAATGCCACCTGGAGGGAAAGTACTCTTAATACTGTAGATAGAAAATTTTACTCAAAGGAAAATTTCCTTAATTTAGGAAAAGAAATAGAATTGCATTCAAAGATTTCTAAAAAGCTTGCCACACCTGGGAATCGAACCAACTAAATTCTGTTAAAAATTACACCCTGTATTTTTATTGCATCGATCGTGAGGCCCTTTTCACACGTCCCGGTTGCCGGCTAACCGGCGCCGGGTACCCGGTCGTGAAGTGTANCCGGTGGTGAAGTGTATGGGCATGCCGGATTAATTACGCCGGAACATGTGAAAGCTACGTACCATGCCCATACACTTCACCACCGGATACCCGGCGCCGGTTAGCCGGCAACCGGGACGTGTGAAAAGGGTCAAAAGGGTCAAATATAAGGATGAAATCTATCTAACAAACTTGATAAATCAAATGAAAGGAAAACGATGAAATCTTAAATTATTTTTATTATTTACAGAAAATTGTATGGTATGGTGGTGAATTTTCGAAAAAATTTTGAAAATCCTTGAATGCAGTTCTCTTTCTTTTCAAAAATAAAGGAATGTTTTGTTTGAGTAAAATTTTCTATCTACATTAAGAGTACTTTCCCTCCAGGTGGCATTACAAAATTCCACCCTGTATATGAAACACCGCACCGGTCCGCACATCTCCGCACCGCTACGCTCATCTCCGCGGTATACCACGCCGCGCCTCACCGCACCGCCAACGCTGTAAAAAACTATAAAAAACAAATCCACCCGACACTTCTCCGCTATTCTCTGCCCGATCCAATTCCACCAAAGCAGAGCGGAGTGGAGATGTGCAAACAATGGAATCTGATTGGTTATTCAAAAAACTTCTATGCTCCGCTCCGCACCGCCTTGGTGGAGCCGGGCCTTATATGCGAAGCGTGAATTTGACGCCGCGTGTCTTGGTTTGCGAATTATAAGACAGTATACGGATAACGTACTATGTTAAATTTGTTTTTTTTTTAATAATTGTTTCTACGTGAAGAAAACATTTAAATTAAATGACAAGAAAAAATAAATGCTTTTCTTGTCATTTAAGCGCGATGTCATCAAGTCCGGAAATAAATGTATGAAAGCACCTTTATAATTATACATATTAGACTCCGTAATGTCAATTCGTCAATGAAAATATAATAGTCTATTAATATAACTCAAGGGTGACTGACTGAACCACTAAACCACGGTAATAAAATGAACTTCGTACTTCCTACTTCATCCACGTGGATCCCGTTTTACCCCCTTAGGGGTGGACTTTCGTATAATCCTTTCTTAGCGGATGCTAACGGCATAACATCTACAATTCTACATGCATGCCAATTTTCAGCCCGATCCGTTCTGTGGTTTGGGCTGTGCGTTTATAGATCACTATGTCAGTCAGTCAGTCAGTAGTCAACTTTGAGTTATAATTCCTATATTTAGATTTCGGTTGTTTCTGTGCGTTTTTTCCAATGAATATAAAGTCTTTTGCACGCAAGAACTCGCGAACAGCACGCAACGTGAAATTCACGCGCATGCTTTCTATCTAGCGAGGCCTTTACGGGTTAACTAACAGGCGAGAGGTCGCAAGGCCCTAATAAGTTTATTAATTACAAACGTCAAACACACACACGTCTGGGCTCATTCACCAGAAAATTGCCCGAAACCGACCTAACTGGGCGGTCACTTTCCGTGATTGTAACAATTTTTCTTGAGCACTTCTTCTAAATATTTGATACTACCTGTGCCCGCGACTTTCGTACGCGTGAAAATAGTTCGAATAATATTTCCACTTTCTGACATTTTTCTTTACTGCTCCGCCCCTACTATTGGCTGTAGGGGAAACGATAAGACGTGATCTCACTCGATTATTTCTAAACTATACAAGATATCCAAAAACTGGTTAATGATCCTGAAAGTTGCTTCACGAGCCCTATCCAACCACCGCTCCGCTCTTCTCCGCTCAGCTTTGTTGGAAATAGCTTATTAGCTTCGCCGCACATCTCCTCTAGTCTCCGCACCGCCCCGGCTTGGTTTAGTAGAAACCGGGCGTTATGGTGCGGTTAAGTGTGCTTTACACTATGGAGATTCATATAAAGAATACTGACCGCCTCTAGTTGATACGGTTACGATCCCTTTCCGGGTTGATAAGTGTGCTACGTCTTTAAAGTATGAAATCATTCTAGAAATCTAATGTAACCTTGTCACTGAGTATAGGCATACAAGTTTTGGGAATCACGACGACGAAATTTTTATAATTAGTATGTTTGTAGAGTCATGCTTCGTATATAGTAAATGCAAAAGTTATTTATTTCCTGGAAGAAATGTTAACCTTGAATGGGTTTGTCTATTTTAAACCTAATACTAAACCTTTAAAGTTAAATTTCGATTGGGGCAATTTAACATTTTGCGGTAAGTTAATGCGCTGTCGACCGTGATTACAAGGGCCGCGTCCACACAAAATGGTTTGACTTCGATTGCGGCTTACTGAGTGCGTCATGTCATCCATACCGACCGCCCGTTTAGGTTAACCACTGTATGGTACAGGTACTTAATTATATCGTATCATGTTAATGTACCGAATGTTAATTGCGCAATTACCAATAATTACGCATTGATAATTGTAACTTAGTTCGGTACTGATTTC